CTGCTCTGGGTGAGCCTGCTTGGGCAGGGGGGTGGCACTGGGTGACCTCCCGAGGTCCCTTCCACCCCCTGCCAGTCTGGGATTCTGGGATTCTTTTAAAACGGCCGGCATCTTCCATGGGAGCTTCTCAGTGGTCTGGACCTTGGCTGCCAAAGATCCTCCATCCGCCTGTCCCTCCTCCATCTCCTCAGACTGGAAACTGTTCAAGGAAGGGACTGTCCCTCCCATACTGCAGCACATTTATACAGCAGGCTGCCGGTCCCCGCTGGCCCCATACAAAGGATTAATAACGTCTGATAGCGTCTGGACCGAACTCAGCAGGCAGGATTACACGCTGCCTCCCTAAACTCCTCCCCGGAGATGCAACTGGAGGCAGTTATCTGTCGCTTCTTGGCAGGGAAGGAGGCTGGAAGCGCTGAAAAGCAGCTCGTGCCGCTTCCAAGGGTTCTGGGGACACAGGAAGGCGCCTGCAGAGCGGGAGGTTACGCTGGCAGAGCATACGTGGAGCCACCACCCAAGCCACGCTCCCCTCTCCAGCATGCATCGCCTCCCCTTTTATCACCAAAATGGGTCAAAATCGCCATCCCTGGGGAAGGGATGGATTCCCATCCCTGGAGAACTCACTCCAGCAACTTCTGGACGAGTTCATCCCTGCAGACTCCACGATCAGCCCGGGAAAAGCAGCAGCTACAGGCTTTGGCCCAGCAAGGGTTAAAAATCGATCGCGTTAATTAAGCCGTCTCCAATCTAAAATCTACTCAATGCCCAGAAAGCAGATACAACGCCGAGCGCTGCGCAGAGGCGCAGGCAGGCTTAATTGTTTGTAATGCTCTCTAAGATGCTTGGAGGAGAGGCGCCGTCGGAATGAAAAGCAGAATTATGGTGATCTATACGTCGCATAATAAAATACATAAGTATTCCCAAATAAATGCAAGTAATCCAGTTAGCGCTCGCATGACTTTGTCACATACTAAATTTAACAGCTGTCTCCTTTATACATGCCTGCTGCTCGTCGCGTGCGCTAAATCTTAATTCCCCGGTTAATTGCTTGAGTTTGTTGCCTTGTAAAGCAGGTCTTTCTCCACGACGCGTAGACGGGGCCCGACCTAATCACTCTTCTCTTCCTGCCGTAAGCGCTGCCATAAATCTGTCCCGGGTAGAGATGCCATCCTGGAAACCACAGTCAAAATAAGGCTGGATCCTTCCCTATGGATTCATCCCAGCTGGATGAGGAGGCTGGGGATGCTGAGAAGTGGGAGGAATTGGACAGATCCTCTTGCATGGCTCCTTCATTACCTCCCATGGTGTTCCCTCCACCCCGTAACGAGCCCACCGGACAAAACGTGTTGTTTGCAAGAGCGCGGTGCCCCTCTCTCGTCTTGTCTGAGCTGGTTAAGAGCACGTCAGCTCCAAGATGCTCCTCTGGGTTTCTTCTGCCATCAATGGATGAGCAGGGGAGAAGGAGCGATGCCTCCCAGGGTGATGGAGATGGCCCGGAGCTCTCTGAACATCAGCACACGCAAGCACAGGGGGACTTTTCGGGATAGTTACAACCTCTAAATCTCATCTGGGTGCACTTGGCCATCCAAGCTGAACTGGGGGAGGGGGTTTCAGCAAGGATGGGGCTGGGAAGGGCCAGAGGGGTAATGGTGAGGGGTGGCTTATACCTCTTGAGACTCAAGGGTCCGGTTTGGGTTGGGGCAGGGAGTCCACACTGGGGCTGGCTTGGGATGTTTTATTTATTAATTTTTTGCCCAACTGACTCACTCTTCTCGGAGGATGACCGGGCAAGTGGTCAAACTGGCAAGAGGATCTGGCAGGAGGCAGGGGAAAATGGCAACCAGATTTCTGTAAATCTTTGCAGATCTCTTGCGATTCGGCCAGGTCTGACAGGAGAAGGGATAATACCTGCGAGTGGTTCATAATGCCAAGTTTATCAGCTCCGGCTGACCTGTAAGAAGCTGGAATAAACTGATTTCAAGGGAAGAACTTAGCTTTTTAGGAATGCCAACAGCGGCTCTGGCCTGGCTTTGCGTGCACAAGGAGCTTCTGCTGCAAATCCGATGTTCGGGGCCAGTTTAGCCAAAAAGGGGTGAACTCTCCGCAAAATCTGTGGCACCTGATGGTCTCAGGAAGAAATGAAGCAAAACTAAAAGCAGGCAAGGCTTAAGTGGTGTTTAGGTTAATGGACCTCTTTGGCAGGAGAACAAGTGGGACAAACTCCTGAAAAATTAGGCTGGAAATGAGAGCAAGTTTGCAGACCACTAGGAACATTTCTGAAGGGAGTTGGGCATGTCTGGGAGTCGTAAGCATGATGCCTGTAATTGCAGGGATGGCACCCGGTGCCACAAGAATCCTGTTTGATTCCCGAGTCCTTCACTTCCATCCACCTTTCTCTGAGCGCAGCGGTAGCACAAAAGGCGAGCTGGCACCAGGCGAGGGACTCACCACCCTTGTTCCTTTTTTTTTCTTGCCCTCCATTATGAAAGCCAGGCTTTTTGATAAAAAAAAAAATAGCTAACAGACTCTTGGAGCACGAGTACGTCTGGGCCCAGGGAAGCTGTGTGGTGGATGCAGGGGGAAATCCGCATTATTTGTGGTTTAAATGTGAAAAAGCATCATATGGGCAAGATTTCTGGAAAAGAAGGTCTGCTTTCCAGAATTCACGTGGCAGCTCCTCCCGGGGGATTTCCATTCTTTTGCAGGCAAGCCCCTTGCTTCTCTGCCATCCCTGTGAACTCCGAGCTCGGCCAAGGGATCCCTTGCTCAGTGGGATTTAGGCTTGACAGGGAAGCACAAAAATGCTGCTTTATTGCTCGTCTTTACCAGGATCCTGCTGCAGGGATGGAGATCCCCAGCCTTCCTCCATCCCATGCCGAGAGCTGGTGGAAACCTCCCCTGAGCTTCCCATAGTCCCAGCTCCTTGAGAGGAGCACATGAGATTGCAACAAGCCCTAAATCCTTTGCTCAGTACTGAGCTGATTTCAACAGGGCTGTTACGCTTTCATCTTTTTTACCTTGTCTGTGTATCGCCAAAGCAGCCCTCTAGCAAGGGGGCTTAAAAAAAATCAAGTTTCTGGTAACTACGGAGGGGTTCGTCATCTTCTCCCCCTTGTTTTGCATTTGCTTCGCTGAGATGGAGGGGCTGGAGTGATGGATCTAACTGCCCAGAGCTTAGAAATGGTGTAAGAAAGCTGAGATCAAAAGAAAATTATGAAGACTATTATTAAAGCCTTCCTCCATGCAGCTTTTTAAACTCCTCCTACTGTATAAAAGGAGAGAACCGTAAGGTCCATATTTTCACAGAAAACACGCAAACTTGCCGTCTTCACCGACGGTTTCCCGTCA